CAAAACCGTGTTGCCTTTTGATAGCAAAGCTGTCTTAGGAACTCTTACAGGGGAAGTCAGACATTGCTAAAGGGATCATTTCACTCCTCTCTCATCCTCCAGCCACCGTCGCTGGCTGTATGTCCCATGGCGACTGCTTTCTTCTTTGCAAGCCTCATGGGGGGGAAGGTGTGCTAGAAGCAACGGCTATAGATCAGGTCCCTGGGTTTGAGTTGTCACATGCCTCTTAGTGAGGTTGTATAATCCTGGGCAAGTCTCAAAGCCTTTCTGAGTCTACCTTGGGGGGGGGTCAGAGGATGGTGCCCTGGGCTTGGTAAAAAACACTAGGGATCTTAATCTGAGGTCCAAGAACAGACCTCTAGAGGCCTTCAAAGGCCCAGAATTTTATGCCGTGCACATGTATTTGCATAGCGAGGGCTAGGAAGTCATGAAAATGCCCAGGATCCTAACTTCCAGCAGGGACCAATGGGTGGAGGAGTGAAGAGCCCTTCCTGTCATTACTCTGTATAGGCTGGCATTGCTTAAAAATATATTATTTGCAGGAATAAAATATCTTTTTTTTTTTTTTGGAGAGATTTTCACTGTAGGGCGCGTACGCTCGCCAGACAGACAGAGAGAGACATAGAGACAGAAAGCGAGAAATCACTCCCCAGGGGGGATGGTCACGCCGCAATCCCTTCTCCTCCATTCTCCTCTCAGGATCTTGGGCACGCACGCACACGCGCCCGGCGTGAGTTTTAAGCCACCGGGTCCGGGACGTGAACCGCGGTCAACTATGTGGGAGTCCAGCGACATAGCCATTACGCTAACTGCTGGTTCCCTCTTTTTTTTTTTTTTTTTTTTTGAGAGATTTTTTATAGGTCACATGTGCTCTCCAGAGAGACAGAGAGAGACAGAAAGCAAGAAATCACCCCCCAGGGGGGATGGTCACGCCGCAATCCCTTCTCCTCCATTCTCCTCTCAGGATCTTGGGTACGCACGCACATGCACCCGGCGTGAGTTAAGCCACCAGGTCTGGGATTCAAACCACGATCGACTACATGGGAGTCCAGCAATAAAGCCATTACGCCAACTGCTGGTCCCTCTTTTTAAAATGTCCTGCAAAATCGCTCATGTCTGCGTACAAGCCCTTATCAGGGGGTAGAGTTGACGGAGGGCTGTGATTTCACAGATGCAAGTTGTTAGGATTGTGCCAGAGGAGACGTCGTTGTTCTCCCTTCCCTGCTTGTCCTGTCCTGGCCTCAGCCCAGGTGAGACGTGGCCCCTGATGGGCTGCCCTCTCCTCTTCTTTCTGTCTGTCACTCCTTCAGACCTGGGCGGTAAGCAATGTCCCGAGGCTGTCCTCAGGCACTGCACTGTCCTCGTGGCTTCCCTACTCCCTGCCCACAGCTTTGAAACATCCCTTTATTAAACTCTCCTCGAATTACCCAGTCTGCATCTGCCATCTGTTTCCTGCTGGGACCCTGACGGATACAGTATTTTTAATCTGTCATTGCACCATCAAGGCCTATAAACTCACACACACTCACTCCTACAGGCACACACACACACATTCATCTATCGACACACTTTTGCTCAGCCTCACACATTCACCCACTAACAAGCGCACCCACTTTCTCACGAATTCACATGTGCACGCGCTCACGCACGCCATTGTCCGCTCCAGCACTTTGGCGAATGTAGTGCTCTGAGTAAAATCCAGCTCTATGACTCGCAGGTCCACCTGGGCTGCAGGAACGTAGCCCAAAACCCTCGTCTAAACGGCAGGACCCTGCCTCCTGCCCTCCCCTGACTCGGTAACTCTCTCTAGTTCTTACGTTTGGAAATGCTCCACTTTGCTCACTGTAAATCCAGATGACCCCACCGACTGTACTCTCAGTGTGCTTAGAAAGAGGTTTCATGAAGTACTAAGAGCAACTCCTGGAGTCTTTAGCTAAGCCGTATAGACCTAAGAGCAAAAACAAAATGGTCCCACCAAATTTCACATAGGGGAAAGGACAGGAACCTTGAGGAGGTCACCAAGTGAAGATTTAGATGGACTGCACCAAGCACAGCTCCTCAACTTTGGCTTTCATCTGTCTAGTACCTGGAGTAGGCCAGGGGCTGTGTTGCAGAGACTGGTGGAGTTGGGATGGAACCCCTAAGGCTACTCTGAGATGTACCGTGACCTTTGGCAAGTCACATCCCCTCTGGAACTTCCACTTTCTCACCTGTGAAATGACCACCTCAATCTAGTGTCTCCGAGGGGGTCTCCAACAACTATAATTCTCCAAACCCCTGAGGTAGGTGAGGTTGGCATTTGGAGAGAAGTTGCAGAAGTAATTAGCGGTGGAAATGCAAATCTCTAGCTGCCTCTGGATTGTCTGAGTTTGCAGATTAAAACACGGCTGAACCTTGGCTGAATCATTCTATCCCCTCCAGACCAAATGGCAAAGTAGGATGCTGAAAAATCTGGCCTCTGTTAGAGGGAGAGGAAAACGAATTTGTTTGGGAGGCGAAAGGCCAGGCTATGAATTGCGCCTCCGGCATCTGCTGGTCTCTTAGCATCCCCGGAATTCAGTCTTTATTTGGCAGCAAGGATGAGCGTAACAAGCACACAGACAGGTTTCTGTAAGGATTCACAAGTAAAACCGTCCCTTGCCTTTTTTGGTTGGGGTGGACGTCATTCAAGAAAATATGTTTGCATCCAGACTCCCATACTTATTTGCTCTGTGACCTTGAAAAATGTATTTCACTCTGTGGGGCTCCATTTTCCCATCCGTAAAGTGGGGGGGACTGCAGGGCCTACCATGGAGGGCTGGTGAAGAAAGATGAACCAAAGCACACAAAATGCTTTGCACACAAGGTAACAAGTGTGCTTCCTGCTCACAAGTGACTTGGTGAGAGTCTGCGAGCAGCATATGTATTAACAGTATCATGTAGAAACCACCCTGTGGCCTGCTCCGAGCCTCGCTTAGTGACATGTTTCTCCTCTTATTTGATGACTCAGAAAGGTGGCCTTGTAACCTCTGAACTCTTAGCTTAGCCTTGGGTGTCAGTGCGATGCCAAGAAGCTTGAAGGCAACGTGAGGCTGTGGGTGGGCACCCAGGTGGAGGATTTGAGGAAGCCTGCCAGAGCTCTCTGCTGGCCCTGGGTGTCAAATATTCCCCCTTATCAGTGCTGTTCCTTGAATCCTCTGGAAACTCTTTTCAAGTATGAGGGCCGAATGCTGCTCCTTGATCCCCCTGTACTCTGGGCTGGAGGACTTTGGTGAAGGAGTCAGAACCTGATCCTAAGCGTAGCCCACGCTGCTCAGGTGGTTTCCATTAGGCCCCTAAGCATTATGTTGGCTAGTTTCTTTGAGATCCTCTGTCCTAATGGTTAATTCACAACAAAGAACTTCAACTCCTCCTTAAGAAAGACACTGTTCTGAAACTGTATGACACTAGCCTGTGGGGTCTTCACACACTTACATTCTTCATTAGCTTTCCAGCCAAATGAATTATGTGGACAATAAAAGATTTCCCAAGAGCCAGAGGGACGTTGTGAAGATGAAAACTTGCATTTTAGATCATGAGAATTTTTATTAATATGTTACTATTTTAAGGCACCATACAAATATCCTTTGTATTGATTTCAGCGTGATGAACTGACTGAATAAATATGCCAATTTCTGCCAGGGAGCTAAACAGTATTTTTAACCGACTTTAAAATATATGTTGTTTCTTATGGTTTTCTTTTTTTTAAGTTTGGAGTTGATTATGAAAGCATTTTCAATTAATTTTTTTTTCTTTTCAGAGATTCTATATGTATATTTTAAACTATTGAATATAAAGCTTAATGGAGTGGGTAACTTTTTAAAATGATAAATTAAGGTAAAAAAGGTCAAATAACTTTTTGGCTTACCTGTGTCTATATTGGAGAATAGCACTATGACAAAGGAAATATGACTAACAATTCTTCCAATATATTTTTACACGTATTTTCCCCCTGATCACTGCCTATTTATCTATTGGGTCAATGGAAAAGTCATGACAGATTTTTCTATGCAAAATGTGTCATGCCTTTTCTGACAACCCAGTAGTTAGTCTACTCAGTGTATAACATTGTGTACTTAACCAGGATGCCACCAGAAACTTCAGGATCTTCAAAAATGAAGAGAAAACCAAAACAGAGAGCTGAAGCTCTTCATGCATTGGCTAATAGGATTTTCCAGAAAACAACAATGCTGTCTCTATTTCAGAGATGAAGAAATTAGGATGAGAAAAGTCAAAACTTGTTCAGGGCCCTTTAGCTGGTTCCAAAGAGTTTATCCTCCTTCCCTTTCTTCATGTTGAAATATATTATATCTATATATGTGTGTGTGTGTGTGTGTGTGTGTATACATATATATATATGTGTGTGTATATATATATATGTATATGGAAAGATCCCTTATTCTCAAAGCCCTTGAGAATATAAGTTAAGACAATATTTAAAGGCTGGTTTCCGTACTTGTTTGAAAAGGCACTGAGGAACTAATGACCACTCTGACTGTTACTTGAGACTAAAATTTTTCGGCTACAAACAGAAATACAGAACTGCCCTCTTGTACAATGAAACCAGTTACTGTCCTTACTTTGCAGAGTGAGGAACCTTAGAAAATTCAGGCACAAGGCAGAGAGTGGGTCTATCTGAGTTACCAGGGCGCATTGTAGGACCGGAGCTAAGAACAAAGAAAGAACCATAGAAGCCCATCCCTGCAGGAGACCTTGGCCATCTGGTCTACCTACCCACCTGGAGCAGGAATCCTGGACATGGTCACTCCCAGTGGTGGAGAGTGACGATCTCACAGGACAGCCTGTCCACCACCACCAGCAGCTGTGAGAAAGTCCTTCCTGATCTTGAGTTGAAACCTGATTGAGGGGGATGGAATCTTTCTTCCCACTCTGCACTGCTGTCTTGAAATAAGGTTCTTTAGGACAGTCCTTACCTTCTCCTAATGTCCTGGGATCTGGGGTGGGGTGGGGGGGCGGATTACCTGAAGTTGTAGCCTGGGGAGACACTGCTCTTCTCAGAAACGCCATCGAGTCGGGTAAAGGAGTACTTAGGGATGCACTGGTCCCAGGCCTTGTCCAAGTCGCACACCCAGCCGATCTTAATGCCCAGAACTCCGCCCTGAAGAGAGGGGCCAGGTTTGAGCTCTCCCACACCCCCCACCCCTGTGCTCAGCTAGGAGAAAGGGGGGTTATGACTAATAGTTTGTCTCCATGCTCTGGGTGGAAGATGGAGACAGGGAGAAAAAACTGACCAGTCACACACTGCTCAGTAATGCTGTACCAAGGGTGAAAACGCCCAAGCCTCCAAACCCCACGTTTGGAAACTTCAGTGGCTTGGGTACAACACAGGAGACAGTGGCCACAGATCCACCTTCCCATTCTGTGGCCCTCTCGGGAGACCTAAGGCCTCTACCTGAGGTGAAGTGTGAGGACAGAAATGCGGAACTAAGGCTTGGAGGGCCGAGGCTGGGGAGGCAAGACCCGCTCAGAGCAGGATGAACCCAAGCAAAGGCTCAATCGCCAAGCCAGGTACAAGCCTGGGATGGCTCCACCAGGTGGCGCTGTCTCCGTACAGCTCCTTTCCTGGTATCCCCACTGCCTGCCAAAGGGCCCCGACGTCTGGGCTTCCCAGTTCAGGGTCCTGGAAGGTTGGCAAGGTCCTCACCGTGCTGGCCAGTTTGGCAAAATCCTGCCCCGCAAACTTGACCACATCCCCCACCCGCAAGATGGGGCAGAAGGGGGCCTTGTCAGGGTGGAAGCGGCACGTCTTCAGGTCCCTTGCTGTCAGGCTGGGAAGGAGGTTTCCCCTGGGGAGGAGAGGAGAGAAGACAGGCCCAGGGTTATTGAGGAGAGAGTTCTGTATACATTTTTCTTCAGCTTTCTGCAGCCTCAGGGCCCACCACACCCAGGCAGGGGGAGCTGAACCCGTCTTGGACTTCACCATGTGCTTACCCTCTTTCTTGTAACCCCATCGCCCTCTCTCCTGTGTCAGGGTTACCAGTGTGCATGTCTTTTTATTTATTTATTTTTTTAAGAGAGATTTTTGCTGTAGGGCGTGTGCTCTTGCCAGAGAGACAGAGAGTGCTGGAGAGGCAGAAAATGAGAAATCACCCTTTGGAGGGATGGCCACACTGCAATCCCTTCTCCTCCAGTCTCCTCTGGGGATTTGGGGCATGCAAGCACACACATCCCACGTTGAGTTTTAAGCCACCTGGCCCAGGACTCGAACTGTAGTGACTATGTAGGAGTCCAGCCATGTAACCATTATGCTATCTGCTGGTCCCATGTGTTTCCATATCTAATCTCTGTCTGGCTGGGGTTTCTGGAAGACGGGAGGCACTTCTGACGACTCTGTGCACCTCCACCTCCACACTCCCTGGGACTGCCCTTTGCACATGGTGGTGCCTACTGGGTAGTTGAAGGAATGAGGGGGTTGAACTAAGAGAAAAGGGACATCATACATGGGCTTGAATGTGGGGGTGGGGGACAGCCTTTGGGGGTATCCGTGTCCCAGGGCCAAGTCTAAGTTATTCCTCTCTTGCCCTAAGCCAAACTCCTATTTGGGTTCTGAGCCTCAAGGCAGGGAGACTTGCAGAAAATGTGGGCAAAGGCCTCCTGAGACGCGATGGCCAAGGCCTGCTGGGAGCTCAGGGAGCAGAAGCCCCAGGAGATGGGAGAAGGACTGGGGAATGGGGCATTGCTCTCCTGCAGTCGAGTGGCAGGTGGTGGTGGGTGCACTGCCTCTTGGCTCTCGGGAGGAAGTGAGGACTCACTTCTCGAAGTTGAAGAGGGGGAAACGGATGCTGTTCTTGATGAAAATAGTGAAGTTCTCAGCTTCCATCATGATGGGCCTGTGGGCGAGAACAGGAGAGCTTAGCATCTCAGAAAGAAGAGAGGAAGCCGGGAGACACCTCCCCAGGGGAGACCTCTTATAGATAAAGGCCCTCCGGGAGCCTTTGATAGGAAGGGTCTCTCTGGGCCTGAGGGTGAGAGGGAAAGA